GGGTACCTTGGCTCTCCCAAGTCCCTTTTTCCTCACTAGCTGAGACACAGCAATGGGAGCCATTGGCTCCCACTGCTGTCAATCACAGCCAGTGAGGAGCAAGCAGTGGGTGGTTCTGAGCTGGTCTGTTTGTGTCTTTTAGGCACACAGAGCGGGGCTCAGGAGACGAGCGTGCGGTTTGCTCTGGGGGCCCTCAGCAGGGGCCAGGAGCTCTGGCAGGGGATCAGAGAAAAGTAGAATTGGAGCTGCTCTGTGAAAAACCATAGTGGTGAGATATGATGGTAATATCATCAATATATTAAGTGAGACATGAATATGCATGTGCACTGAAATGGCAGGTAAGTATGACATGATTGGTTTTTTTTTTTAAACGGGTATTTAATATCACTTTAACCACTTCAATACCCCCTTCATGCCCAGGCCAATCTTCAGCTTTCAACGCTGTCACACTTTAAATGACTTTTGCACGGTCATGCAACAGTATACAGTATGAAATTTCAAACATTTTTTTTTTTTTTCTTTAGAAAGAGCTAAACAAACAGAAAAAGACCATTAAAAAAAAAAAAAAAAAAAAAAAAAAAAAAACTTTTTTTTGTTTCTGTTAAATTTTGCAAATAAGTAAATTTTCTTCCTCACTGATGTGCGCTGATGAGGCTGCACTGATTGACACTGCTGGGGATGCGCTGATAACCATTGCTACATATGTAAAATTTGGGGTGTTTCGTACCACCTAGGTAGTATTTTGCATCTGTTTTCTTGATATGCCAAAAAGACATTATGTGCGAAGAGGAGAATTCTATCTTTAAGGGCTTAGGAAAATGTTGTTTGAAATTGTTAGAAAATGGGGTTTTTTTGTACATTCGCCTGATATTAACATGGAATATGACTGCGATAATGCATGTCTTATAGGCATGGCTTGTACGCACATTTCAAATGGAGTAGTTGCATGAATAGTTTGGTATTCAACCAGAAGAGATCTAAGGAATGAGCTGAGCTGTTGACAGTGCATAAAGTCTAATTCAGAGCTAAAAGAGGAGCTGATATGTATGTCACTTATAAGTTAGTTTTAAGATGTAAAACGGTACAACCTGAATATGCTTTTGGAGATGAGATTACTGATTTGAGGCTCTGGGATGCTGTGCAGAAAATGTGGTGACCCAGGAAGGGTAGTAGCAGACTAGGTTGTGGGGAGAGGGAAGTAGTCTTAGAGATGGATTTGGTAGTACTAATAATAGGACCTTTTAAAGGGTGGGATGTTATCCATTAAGTTACTGTGGTTGGGGTTTTCACCCATGCTAGTCCCTCGAGTGGAATGGGAAGACATGCGTGCTCTAGATCTGTCCAGAGCGAAAGTATGTCACCAGCACACAGTGGATCTCCAGAATTGGTTCAAAGCTTTAATCACAATCACATCACTATAGCAGAAACAATGTTTCAGAGCCTTGCAGGACCCCTTCATCGGGCATGTGACAAGTTCTACTCAGGGTTTTCAGTCTTTCTGGAAACACAGTCTAACAGCCTCATCAGGTGGACTTCTCCATGGTATTTCTCAGGATTTGGGAATCCTAACATCCCCTCTAGGTATGGGTAAAATTAAAATAGATCTACTCACGTTGGCTCTTTTCTCTCCCCAGAGATATCCCTGAGCAGGGGCAGACTGACCATTGGGGCACTCGGGCACTGCCCGAGGGCCCGGGGTCAGTAGGGGGCCCTATGAGATGCCCCTGGCATATTTCATAGGCTTTTTCATAGCCTTTTTTGGGTGTGGTTTGAGTGTGGGCAAGAACACAGGGGCCCCATGATCTTTTATTGCCTGGGGGCCCATGAGTTGTCAGTCCGCCCCTGTCCCTGAGGCAGCTTATTTGGAAGGGTCTGTAGCAAGTATAGTAACCAGGTAAGCATGTTCATTTTCAGGACAATATTAAGACCAAACCAGGTGAACACCTCCTAGTTCCATTTATGGAGGGCCGATTTAATGGTTTTGGTCAGAGGGTGGAAATACAATTTGAAGGTAAGTTTCAAATTAGCAGAGATCAATGTGCATAGCTATTTGTTAAGGGATGAGGACCATCTGAATGGGAAATTCTGCTTCATTTGCTCGAGTTGCCCAGGTGGCATGGTAACCTTTAAGGCCTCAGATTTAATCTTGTCCATGGAAAGAGCCCCATATCTCTCCAATTCTTGTAGCAGGACTGATAAGGAGGTTTGTGGGCAGGAGGGAAGATATAAAGTAGATATGGTCCTTAGCATATGCTGTGACCTTATGAGTGAGCTTAGTAGTTGTAAGTCCAGTTACTGCGTTATTTGCTCTGATGGTGTGTTGGAACAGTTCTAACAAAATATGAAAATTAAAGAAGATAAGGAGGAGGGGGGGGGGACCTCATGTAGTCTGTAGGCTGTAGGTTACATAATTAAGAGTAGTAGGATCATAAAGTCAGAGCTATAGTTGGGAAGTCTAACTACTGTCCTATGCTCACCTTTAATTTGGAAAATATATTCCTTTGCCCTAATGTTTCTTAAAGTGACACTAAAGATTCAGATTATTTTTTTTTTAATAATAAACATGGCTTTGCACAGAGCAGCCCAATCCTCCTCTTCTCAGGTCCCCAGATGGCGCTCATGGTTCCTCCCCCCTGCTGAGTGCTCTCAGAGCAAGCTGCTTACTCTGGGGACACTCATGCGTGCTCGCTGTGTCTAAAAGACAAAAAGATCGCGGCTCGGCCTTACCCCTGCTCTCTCCTCACTGGCTGTGATTGACAGCAGCGGGAGCCGATGGCTTCCGATGCTGTGTCTAAGCCAATGAGAAGAGAGAGTCCTAGGTGAGTTGCTGCTCTCATGCACATCTCTGGATCAAGATTGGGCTCAGGTAAGTATAAGGGGGGCTGAGGGGGGAGCTGTACACTGAAGGTTTTTTACCTGCATAGAACACATGAAGGTAAATGTTCCTTCAGCCTTAAGGCCCTGGCTAATAATTTACCCAGTTTGTTATGGTACTATATGTATGTTCACCTGTACCAGGGCAGTTTTGCTTTTGCTTTATCTGTGAATATTAATTTAATCCATCTCGGAAGGTGTAAAGAAATATGTCATTAACTGGCATCCATTTTGTATAATGCCTCCATTTTAGATGTGTGAACAGTTAGTTTCGGTTTTGTGTTTCACTTTTAAATTTTCTCTCGTTTCATGATTTTAGCTTCTATTCTCAGTAAACAGAACTACCTTATATGGTATCCCTCAGCTATTTGCAGTTTCTGTTCTTTACATAACTATACTGATAGGAGTGGAATGATTCACTGGTCATCCTAAAATTAAGCAAAACCCACTGAGTTCTGTAGAAGAGTTCTTGTCATGCATTAAACTTTCAGAGATTTAGCTTGCACACTTCGGTGTCTGGAGCTTTATTACTCCCAGGCCAGGTGGGGAAAATATTTGAGGACAGACAGGAATTGATCCTTTCAGAAGGAGTTTAATGTATCCCTAGCCAGTGTTTTGTGGGCCCTTTCAAGCACTCTGATTTGGAAAACCAAGAATTCAGTTTGGTTTGAAATGGATTTTTTCCTCTGTATTCCAAGTTTTATTAGGGTTCCTTTGATAAAACATTTGCGTGTATCCTATCATATAAGAGGGGAAGTGTAATTTTCTGGGTAAGTGGCAAAAACAATGTAAGTTCTTGCAGACCTTGAAATTCAATTGCAATCTCTAGGGTTTGGGCGTGCTTGGACCCAGAGTTAAGATACAGTGTACAGGAGTGTGGTCAGAAATGGAAAGGGACCTGCTGGAAGGGGAGTCTAAAGTTGGAAGAGTCGGTTGGTCGATAAATATGTGGTCAGTTCATGAGTAGGTGTCATGAGATGTTAAGAAATAAGTGTAGTCCTGATCTTGCGGATGGGTAATTTGCCATGTATCAGATGGTGGGTGTTGAGGGTTTTTTAACTCTTCTAAGAGCCCTAAAAGATAGGTGTCAGGTGCCTCAAGATACATAAAGTAATGAATAGAGCAATGTTGAGGTCGCTCTCAATAACTAGGGTGCCCTCTCATCAGGGATAGATATGGAGTTAGTAGAGATGCTGTGGTACACATAAGGGTATCTGTATCTGTGCAGACTGGGGACCCTGTCTGAACCAGTGTCCTGCAAATATAGCACTTGAGCTTAAGTTCACACAGTATTGTTTTTTCTATATATATTTTAAGTGAGAATGCATTTTACAATGTCAGGGGCCGCAACAAAGAATTGAAAATGACAATATACAGATTGTAAACATGGTTTAAAAGTAAACTACTAGGACAGGGCCTAGAAAGGAGTTAACCACTTCCAGACCGGACACTTTTACCCCCTTCCTGACCAGGGCAATTTTCAGCTTTCAGCGCTATCACACTTTGAATGACAATTGCGCGGTCATGCAACACTGTACCCAAATGAATTTTTTACCATTTTTTTGAGATAGATAAAGCTTTATTTTGGTGGTATTTATTCACCACTGGGATTTGTATTTTTTTTGCTATGTAAATGAAATGTCCAAAAATTTTGAAAAAAAGTGTTTTTTTAATAAAATTTTGCAAATAAATAATATTTCATCATAAATCTTAGCCAAAAATTTATTCCGTTATCTTTTTAGTGAAAAAAAAAATCCAAATTAGTTTATAAGCAAAAATTATAATTTTTAAACATTTTTTTTTACATTTTTTTTTATTTTATTTTTTTTTATTATTTTTTTATTTATTTATTTTTTTTTTTACATACTGTCACCCTAGCAGTACAGTGTCACCATGGTGACACTGTACTACTTGTGAGGGGTGATGAATATATATATATATTTTTTTTACACTGATTGCTTTTACACCCATATAGGATGTAAAAGCAATCATTTCTCTTTCTCTCTGTGTGCATTCATGCACTCATTGAGAAGAACTGAGTGAGCTGTGATTGGTCACAGCTTGTCACATGGTACAAGGGTTTTGTGAATAGCCTTGTACCATGTGACCTCTGTGATCATTCACAGATTTCACACATAGTAAGCAATGATGTCAGAAGTGACATCTTGCTTACTACTTTGCATGTGATCACTGATTGGCCAATCAGTGATCACATGATCGGGACCTCGTACAGAGGTCCCGTCCGACGATCGGTGTTTCACTGTGTCCGGAGGACACAGCGGGCACCGGATCGCGGTGCTGTGCGCTCCCAGGCGTTTATAGACGGCCACCCGACCCTGCAGTGCCACCGTCCGGCCGTTTATATACAACGGGCGGTCGGGAAGTGGTTAAAGTAAGCACAAGGATGGACAGCAGTCAGTTAAACATTGATAGGTGGAGATGGAAACGGGAAAGACCCTAATTACCAGGTTTTAACAGATTTCCAATTATGTGGAGGATGCTCACACAGTAATTTAGAGTGTTTCTCTGGAATATGCAGACCACATACATTATAGGAGGTAAATTGGATGGATGACATGTTGAAAGAGGCACTTTAAGGTATCTGTGAGGTCAAAACCAAATGTGGAGGACTAGGAGACCGTGGAGGGCAGGGTCTGGGGAGGGCAAGGAAAAAAAAAAGGGGAGGGAGGGGCAGAAAGATCAGGTAAGAAAAGGGGGAAGAGGAGAAAAGCCTCAAATGAGGGGAGGGAGGGAGAAATAAAGTAAAGAAGTGTTTGTAGATAAACGAGGGGTTATCAACAGTATTTTTACATCAGATTTCGATTTCATTTTAGTCAGACTTTTCACCTGCATTTTAGTCAACTGAATTGTTTTAGTTGTATTTTAGTCGACTAAAATTTCCAGTGCATTTTATTTGACTAAAATCTACAGGGTTTAGTTAAACTGGAATGCATTATTTAGCATTTCTCTACAATTTCCAAACTCATTATATACTCCTGGAGTAAAAATCTAATAACTTGTCATTATTTATGGTGTTAAGGTCTGAACAAGCTACAGCCATAGATTTAGTGGTTATAGAACCCCTTTATGTATAAAAACAAGCTTTGTTACAAGAATATTGTTTTTTTGACAGAAGCACAGTTCAAGTAACTGAACACAACAAAAATTTTCTACAGCTAAAAGGACAGGAACTGCCCAAGGGTAATTCTTATATCTATGATAAGAATCAGTTTACTGTTCACAGTTTATTATTTCAACAGTTCTAATTCTCAGTTACATTCAAAGAAAACGTGCACAGTCTAAAATGACAGTGTGGGGATTATAACAATCACCTGTTTTTATCAACTCCTCTCTCAGCATTGACAAACAATAGAGGTATCTATTATTTCACACTAATGAAAAAGAAAAGTAGACCAGTAACTTTAAATTAGATGCATATTGTTGCTGAGTGCTATTGACAGCACATCCTAAACCTATATGCAGTTCAGGATATATAATTAATTAAGCAGAGTAGGCACATGCCTACAAGCGCCCTCCATAGAGGAGTGCTGTGCACTATGCAGGTGCCTTCAAGTTGATTGAAAATCACTGGTCTATTTTTCTTTTTCATTAGTGTGATATTTACCTCTATTGTCAAAATTGTCAATGCTAATAGCAGAGGTGTAGCTTGAAGCTTGTGGGCCCAGATGCAAAAGTTGACTTTGGGACCTCCCCACTACCGCCTGCAGCTTCCACCATGCACCAAGATACACCAAGTGGCTAAGGAGTTATTTCAGATCTTTATTCATATAATGAGAGGGTAATTAAAAATATTTTGGAGATTCAGTTTTTTGGGGGGAGGGACCAGAACATGGCGCTGCAAGATGGCATGGCGACGAAGCTCCGGACGCCCACCATGAAGAACTAATCTTGGAGCCCCGAGCCTACCTGAACCCGGTCTGTGTGTCGGCAGGCGTGCCTGTTTCTGCTCGGTGGCCGCGGAGCTTTGGAGCGGTTGGTCCACCTATGAACTCAGTGGGCGGCTGGAGGCCAGAGGAGTGCCACGGATCCAGCGGAGTGGAGCCGGAAAGTGGCTGTGCCAGAGGAGTGAAAGGGTGCTGGGAGTGCCTGTGAGACTGATGGAGTGGTGGCAAGGGTGGCCATGGAACTGCCTGTGCGGCAGTGCTGGAACCCCGGGAGCTGCCGGTAAACCAGCGGAGAGGGAGGTGACTCTGTGCATAGAGGATGGCCCCTGTTTAGTGCCAGTTACCTAGGGATACCCCAAGACCCTGAACCTGGGAGAACCTCTGTAATTTATGCGATGCCAAAGTGACCCTGAGTGGGAATTCAGCCTGAGAAGGAGCAGCCAGAGATGGTGTTGTCCCGCAGCTGTGACACAGACTGTGATGGTGAATTGCCACTAACAGCAGAGGAAAAAAAAAAACTCTTAAAAGAACTGTGGTATCTATTGCAAATAAGTGTCTGTTGGGACTATTGCGCGGATAGAAAAAACTTTTCTGGGGGGTCTCGGGATCTTGAAATTCTTTTCCTTTGTACAAGAGATGTAGGGGTAACTGGGACCCCAATAAAAGAAGAAATATGGCTATCTCAGGGTCAGCAATTTTGTAATAGATGAAAACCAATTGTAATTTCGCAAGCGAAATGGAGTAGCTCTGTCAAAGGGGGGGGGGGGATCAAACCCCCCCCCCAAGCAAAAATCCAAACACAAACACAAGTACAATAAGAAAATACATGCCCCCTCTGGAGAAACAACACAAAAGGAATTAAAAAGTATGATGGGGATCTATCTAGACTTTCACTTGGGACACTGGAAGAGAGTCGGATTAAAGGGCCTATAAAGAGGGAAAGTGTTAGAGAACAAGGAATTTTGGAACAGCAAGGATCTATGTCACAAATGCCTACAAAAATGGGAATGGCAGAAGTTAGAGCTATCCATGAAAAATGAAATGGGGACATTACGCAAGGACTTGGGCCAGTATTAGAGTGGAAGTAGAGGGGAGACTGGAGGAACATTGTAGAGTAGAGTACAAAGAAAGCTCTCATTTAAAATAAAGGATAAGGAGAATCGTAATAGAAGAAATAAATTAAGGCTTAGAGGCCTATCAGAAGAAGAAGAAGAAGTGGATCTACTGTAGATAATAAAGAAAGTGTGTAACCCAATAATGGGAAGATCAATGACCGAAAAATTGAAAATCGAGAGAGTACACCGGATTAGAAGGCCAAGAGGAATATTGGCGGAAAGCCCCAGAGATGTAATAGTGCGATTTCACCATTTCAAAGACAGAGACTATGGAAAGATTTGCGTGACTGTACGGAAATAAAATATAAGATAAATTTGTATATTTTCCTAGATATTGCTTCAGAGACACTGGCTAGAAGATCGTTGAAACCGCTGTTGGAGCACATGAAAAAAAAAAGTTCGATATAGCTGGGGCTTTCCAGCATGCCTAATCAGATGGAAAATCGGCAAGGATGAGGTTTCCAGAAGATCTCACTGACTTTTGTGAGAAATTAGACTTACAGAAAATGGTCCTTGAATGGTGGTTTGAGGGGCCAAAAGAGATCAGAGGGCAGGAAATTGGCAGAGGGTGGAAGAAGAAGTAGGCAGAAGGGGGGGAAATCAAGAGAGAGAGGCGTTCCTTTTTTTTTTTCCTCCCTCTCTCCACCTGGCCCTCAATTGGCCATACTATGATGATTCCTTAAGTCCCTGGTCCCTCTCTCCCTGGAGGAGATAACGGGGGGGGGGGGGGGCCCGAGAGTGGTTATGGTGGGAGGTCCGGAGGCCAGGCATGCTGTCAACGCCAGTCTGATAGATGATAGGAGCCAAGGATTGGAGTTGACGTGTGTGTTCTGAGTCTCACCCCAGAATAGGAGTTGTTAGTGGGAATAGTCCACAACAGACTTCAAGGCAGTATGTAGGCCAGGGGGTTTCAGGTGTATAAGACGTTGGGGGAAGGGAGACAGATAAGCAGGAGGGGGGAGGGATGAAAATGGGGAGCTGCTGTAGGGAGGGAAGGGGGAAAGTCCATATCTTAAATTATTTGTATCTGTCTTCCGGCAACAGGAACCCTGGTAGGGTAGTGAAATATTTGACACGAGCTTCATTAAGTTTATGACTTATAATGTGAAAGGGTTAAATTCTCCAGCAAAAAGACACAAGATACTGAGGGAAATCAACCAATACTCCATAGATGTGGTGTTTCTTCAAGAGATACAATTAACCCACAATACAAACGTTAAGTTATAGTCTAAGTAAACACACAACGTGGTTCTATGATGATTCCCCAGTTAAGAGGGCTGAAGGTGTAGCAATTGGGTTTTCAAAATATGTAAGTTTCACCCTGGAGGGAAGAATGGAGGATCCAGAGGGCTGGTTTTTGTTTTTAAGAGGAAAATTACTAGGAGTTGAATATACACTGGTGAATATCTATGGTCCAAATAAAAATCCAGTAATATTTTTGGAGGGTGTGTTAAGGAAACTCTCTGAATTTAAAAAAAGATAGCCTGGTGGTGGCAGGAGATTTAAACGTGTGTTTGGATCCTCAGATGGATGAGTCTTCATGTATGCGGAGAGAGGAGGGTAGGAAATCTAAATTATTGAAGGGATTGCTATAGAAGTGCCAGTTGTCTGACACCTGGAGAGTAAAACACCCAAGTGAAAGGGAATTTACCTTCTTCTCTCCAGTACATGGTTCGTATTTAAGACTGGATTATATAATGATCGAGCATAGATAACTGGAGTCGTTGGTTACTTCCAATATAGAGTTTACGTTCATCTCTGATCATGCTCCTGTCACAATGAGATTATGGGTAGGGGGGAACCAGGGTAATTAAATATGTGGAGACTAAATGAAATGTTTATACAGGATCCTGAAATAGAGAAAAAACTAAGGCAGGTTATTGAGCAATTTTATGAGTTCAATAAACTGAGGAGGTCTCGGTGACTACAATATGGGAAGCACATAAAGCATATATCAGGGGTATATTGCTCTCAATAGTTGCAGAATAAAAGAAAGAATGAGGAGAGAAAAAAAAAAAAAAAAAAAAAAAAGAACGAGGAGAGAAAAAAAAAAAAAAAAAAAAAAAGGACGTGATGGAGGAGCTTTATAAACTAGAACAGTTTGCATAAAAAGAAAACAAGTACAGATATATATCAGAAGATAATCCTTAAAATAGAAGAATTAAAAGAGCTTATGAAACAGAATTTGAGAAGGATATTTAACAGGGTTTTTAAAGAAAGATATCAGTGGGGGAATAGACCTGGAAAACACCTGATGAGGAAGTTAAAGGAAAAGAAATCTAAAAACTTTCTATAAAGAATTAAAGATGCTAAAAGAGAAATGGTGTATACCACCACTGATATCGCTAATAGAGTCCAAAAATATAGCAAGCT